CTGAGTGTATGGTTTATCTAGTATTTCGAACATGATAAGCTAAATATTTAACTGGTAGGATATCAACTCCTATTAAGGTAAAATTACCTTATTGCATTTTGTTTTCCAGTTAAAATAGATAGTTTATTTGTGCGAGATGTTATTGTGTGTAACAAATAAATTTAACTGGTTGGATTTATACGATATCCTTTTAAGGCAATACAATATTGCCTTATTGCATTTTATGGTTTTCCAGTCATATTTATTTGTTAACTGTATAAAAGGAGCACGACACATCTAGATAATTTTCTTAGTACTAGACACCTGCAAGATGCTACAAAAAAAAACTCCTATAATAATGCTACAATAGAGGGGGGAAAACAAAAGCTTTTGGCATCATCAAAAACAGTTCATCAAAATTTGGGGTCTAACATTATATATGTTAATTTTTAAAAATAATAGTTAAGGGGGACGAACACACACATATATATCTAATTAAAGTATGAAAATATTACATATATAATAGAAAATTTTGAAAGTCCAAGGGGGCGATCGCCCCTCGATTCCATTCATGAATACAATTTATAGTTGCTGAAGAATTAGTAATTGCTAAAATTTCAGAGTTCATTGAATCACTAACAAACTCATAAATATAAATTTCAATTTTAGAATTCAAAGTTTATTTGCGTTATTTATAAATAAAAAATAAAAAAAAGTAAAATAAATAAAATAAAAATGGGTTCTTTCTTTCAAATAATAAAATAAAAATGGGGTCCTTGTAATTTAGATCAATAAAATGTTCATACTCTTAGAGTTGGTTTGGTAACATTAATTGAAATTGGTTCAATCATTTGATCAAATGTAAAACAAGTACATAAAAAGGGTAAAAACAATTATATTTAAAATATTTTTTATTAACAAAGTAAAGAAAATATAATACAAAATAGCTAAAATAGTCATTTAAGTAATTTCCACCCGTCTGAAAAATAACATCAGCCTAACTCATTTTGATTATTACATTATTCCAAGTAATAGTCACTTGTTTAAGTAATAGTCACTTGTTTGATAAATCCAAAATAGGGCTTTTATACTAGCTCTTAATCTCACACTCATACAACAGTTTTTTGGTTTATAACACTTATCAACCACATTCTTCAATTTTGATATCGTAATACGAAAAAGTAAATTTGGAGTTACCTTTCTGACTGTATTGACTGAAGTTACTGAAAATGATCATTTTAGCTATTTTCATACAATTCTTTTTTATATAGTTAATAAAATATATTTTAACTTTTTTTTTCATAAATCAACGTAATCAACCAATTCAATTATATCGGTCAGAGAGTTTCGTAAATTTCAACAGAATGAATCAATGTAACCGATTTGAGAATTAGTAAACGGGCACATAGTTTTTTGTCAATTTGTTTGGGAAATATGAACTGATGCCTGATGGTTGTGCAAAGACCATATTGAACGGAAATATTCAGTCCAACTATCTAACACTAAAAAGTAAAATAAACGTAATTATAATTTTGAGATAGGAATTAGGGGTGGCCTCCCATATTGCCTTTTGCCTGCCCAGTTTAGGGCGGCCTGCGGCCCTACAGAATGTTTTTCCTGTGATGGTGCGCCATTCGAAGTGTTTGTGTAGGTTCACACTTGACAGTTGACAGAGCACACTTACGCCCGCACAAGAACATGGATTTTTATTCAAGTATTGTCATTTTGAATTCAATGCAAATATGATCGACAACTTTTCTTCAAATTATTAGACAATCCGGTCAAAATAACAAAAATACATTGTTCATAGATGACTCTTTTTATCCTCTATTAATTTGGATACTTTCCGTCTTGCAGAATTGACACGGATTTGATATGAATTTATCAATGATTTTATGTCAAATAGTCCGTGCTAGTGTTTTTGGAACAAATTTAGCATATCACTGTCAAATCCTCTATAAATTTTGGCAAATCCTTGTCAAAAATCTGTCAGTGTTTTTTGTAGTGGATGTCTGATACGTAGTATTTCAAACGTTATTTTCGAACGTAGTACGTATGCAAATCTTACATTCTGCGTAATTGCGTATGTTTGACATTTCATACCGATTACCATGTACTACTCCTCATTCCATTCACCTGATGAGATTCTAATTCTTGATTTCATGAATAATACTGATATTACTTTAAGAACTTGTTTGGTATTTATGAATCAAGTGAATCGATTGAAATTGGTGAAATTATAGCCGAAACATCTCAATCAATTGAATGTGCTTAAATATGAAAACTAAAGTTTAAAAACACGTAAATTTTTATTTCGAACGCCAAAATGTGCAATAATCAAAATCAGGTCATAGTTATTTTTGTGACTGAATCGACTCAAGCTATTATAGAGAATGATTTTAGGTAAATTTTCATATAACTTTTTTTTTCTCTTATTAATAAAATATATGTTTTTAATATTTTTTTCATAACTCAACAGATTAATTCAATTCAACCCCTTCACCAGAACTTAATTATTTTCAGCAGAATCAACTGATTAAGTCAACTTCAATGTTATCATACATGCTCTTAAAGTCTTGAAACATTATTTCTCTAAGATATAAAGGCCGTTTGGCAACACTGTTTTTTGGCTTATCATGCTTATCATCCAACTTTTTCACCAAACACGTAAATTTTGTTTTCGCGCGCTGAATTGTGTAATAAGCAGAAAAAGTAAGGTTGAAGTTACTTATTTGGCTGTATTGGCTGAAGTTACTGCAGATGACCATTTTATCAATTTTTACATATATTTTTTTCTTTATTTTATTAGTAAAATATATTTTAAATTTTTTTTTTTAAATCGGCAGAATCAGCCAATGCAGCTCCTTCAGTCAGATCTTCATAGATTTCAACAGAATCAACCAAATCAGCCGATTCCCATGCTACCAAATGGACTCATAATCTCACACCCTCTATATAACCTCATTCACCCTCACAAAATATTCAGATCTTGTATGTGTTTTACACTCACGTACTAATTGCCTCAAGTTTCACAGATATTCATGAAATAATCAGTTTCTTATTTTGATTTCAAATAATTCTATTAAATCATCTCACCGAATAATTTTTAAAAATGCTACAAGGAAAAATAAATTTACAATGCTTACGCACAAGTAATGAAGCTATTGTGATCACTTTTGATGTTATTAAACCATATTAGCTCATGTATTTGCAAAATAGGGACAATGCTTTATATGCGCTATTTCTGTCATACGGAGTACTAAATTCATTTTTTTTTGTTCACAAACAACGTTACATTTTTTCAAAGTACTTAAATATGGTTGATAATATCTTTCTCTGTTTAAATATGGTTGATAATACTTCTTTGTTATTTTTATATGAAAGATGACCATTAAAAGGGATAGGCAGTGTGTGGAGAACAAAATCATTATGTTTTTCTATATTCGAGATACGTCACACGTATGATTGTCATCGGACAAACCCATTTTCTAGAAAAAGATAGTTAGAAATTTTAGAATGTTAGATACCGCAGAGAATATTCTCATATACGAAGTACTCTCCATTCTCCCATAGTTATGAGTGTATGACACAATTTTAAGAGGAAAATAATACTACCTTCGCCCCAAAAAATTTTATTATTTTCAAAACTTTGACCAATTATATCTTTTTATTGGAAATTATTTATAATATAAAAATTATATGAAAATGTTCTTTGTTAAAAGTATTTTCATAAAAGTATAAAATTATTAACTTCCATGATATTATACTAATCAAAATCATGGTTCAATTTTTTTTGGGTAAAGGGTGAAATAGGTACATGAACTAACTTAAAGTGTTCAATTAACCCCTTATATAAGAGGTTCTGCCCGGCCGTCGCCAATTGGGGCGGTTCCCGGTTGAACTTTTTGATGAAATTTTTTGAGCATCTTCTTCATTAAGTTTAGTTTACCCATATCAAATTTCAGCTAAAAATTAAATCGGGAAGGCAGTCAAATGATTTTCCAAAATGTACTGTGTTTTTTAACTGTGCAGTTATCTTCAAAAAATCATTTGACTGCCTTCCCAGTTGAATTTTTAGCTGAAATTTAGTATGCGTAAACTAGACTTAATGAAGAAGATGCTCAAAAAAATTCATCAAAAAATTCCACTGGGAACCACCCCAATTGGCGACGGCCGGGCAGAACCTCCTATGTAAGAGGCTAATCGAACACTTTAAGTTAGTTCATGTACCTATTTGACCCTTTAGCCATTTTTTTTGAAATGACAAATTTTTTGGGACGGAGGTAGTAGGGATAATGTAAGGTACAATAGATTGTGTTTAAATGAAAAAGTATTAAAGAGAATGGAAAAGTAGGAAATAAAATGAGAGTAATTTATTGAAATAGATAGAGACAAGTATTAAAGATTTAAAGAACAAATCGAAATGAAAAGAGGGACAAGTATTGGACAAGTATTACTTTAACAATGAAGTTCACATTTTATGCGTAAATTGTTATAGTGTTTTAAGATGAGATTTATTTAGTAGTGTGCACTCCATTTTTAAGTCAAATCTGAGTTTAAATCACATTTTTAAAATAATTACTGTTGCCCCTGCCAAAGCATCTACTTCGTATATATCTATATATAAAAGCATTCCAACTTCTTCCAAAAAAAAAAAGCATTCCAACTTAAAAGCCACAAAACCTATCATACAGTTCATACTCAGCAGGCTAGAATTGAAGCACAAATGAATTTCTTAAAATATTACTCGTATTTTTTCGGTATGCACCACTTTGGTCATTAATGAGATTTTCAATTGGATTTCTAAACAGATAAAATGAGTAACAGAATACAAGCTTAAGCACACCAACACACACAAGCATTATTACTGCACCGGCTCCTAAAATCTGAATTCTTAATGGACCTTCTAAATTAAATCATTTACATAACTTTTAAATGTCTCACACACAAAAATTATTTGCAAAATTGGATGGATCGGGATCGAGTTGGTCACCCCTAACCAATAGGGAGGCCAACCTAAGCCCCGGTCCACCACAAATTTCAATTTTAATTAAATTATTAGGGTTCATAAACTCTGTAAAAAAATTCAAAAAAATCCTCATACCGGCCTATACGAAGACAAAAAGTTTGTGCCTCTTTTATCAAGGAGGACCATTGTTTCATTTCATTGTTCGTAGATACATTTAGCTTTCAATTTTCAGTACGTGCATCTCTCTATACAAATTGTTAAACTAGGCCACATTGTTTGCCATTTGCATGTTATGTCAATGATAATGGCTGTAATTGCATATACAAAAACTTTACCCTTGTCAAGCTTGTGTGCAGTAGACTCTCAATCCAAATCCAGGACTGAAGCCAAGAGTGCATCTATATCGGGAGTGACAACCACACGCGATTCGACATCTCCCACCTTACTGCAACTCTTATCCATAGTGTTGATTGCAACGACATGCTGAGGACATGAGATTTGGGTTCCTGGAGATACCTGCCAATTTGTTTGCCATTATAGTTTTCATGTTTGATTATAGGCCTAATAACATAAAATAACCACAAACTTTGCATCTATTTATGATCTTTTTGTTTACTTGATTTTTCTGGAAGCCGCGTTTTAATTTCCTGTGTTTGGGATAGAAATATATTTTCCCCTAAAGAATTTCCAGTACTTCTCTGAACAGGATTCTAAACTCTGTAGACTAACTTCCCATTTTCTTGAAACTGCTTTATGTTTACTATTTTCGCGGGTAACATTATGCAAAACAAAAACATAGACTAACTACTTCACAGGATAAAAACAAAACACTTCCCCTAAGTTATTTGACTTGGACCATAAGGTAAACATTTAGAGATGACTGAAAAAACTTCTAGTCATCTTTATCCATGCAAGTTTGCAAGTCTCGTTGGGATGAACTAGCTAAATAAGCTCATAATGTGTTTTTTCTGCCACCAGGTCGTGTTAATGCGCAAAAAATGTAGAAACCTAAAAGTGCGTTTGGGAAGACTTATTTTCAAACAGCAAGTTCGTTATCTAGGAAGAAAAGTACTGTTACTTTAATTTTAGTGTTTGGCATGAAAATGAACAAAAAATCTTTTGAGCTTATTTAAAAAAGCATAGGGTGAGAGCTTAAAAAGAACTTTTAGTGATCACATGATAAAGCGTGATTTGTACTAGCACTTCCAGCATAAGTCCTCCCAAACATGTTCAGAGCCTCTAAGGCTAGCTAAGCCTGTAAGGATGCTACTTACATCATAAAGGACGCCTCCCAGCTTCATTTTAACTGCACCACTCTTGTAAACCAACATCTTTCCCATGTGACCACTAGGCAACTCTTTCAAACTGCATCCCTTATCTGTAGAGCTTCTTTGCCCAGCTGTCTGATTCTCAACTTTTTCTTTCCCCTTTGCACTGGTTGGAGCCTCAACTACCTCTTTTCCCTTTGCAGTAGGTGTCTTAAATTGCACGCCCATATCCCTCCTCCCTAAAGGCAAGTTGTTAGGTAGCTGAAAAAAAATAAGTCTTGGCTCATCTCCATCCTGCAAATCGAAGTGTTACAAGTGCATCAATTAACTTTAACTGCTAAATCTTCTTGTTTAAGCGATAAAAAATAAGAGATAAACATCAACTGTATTGTTACCTCTAAGCCAAGCTCTGAAGAAGCATGACTTTTACTCTCATCATATTTCTTGTTTCTCGCTGCCTCTCCAAATTCTGCTTCATCAAGGATTTCTACAGGGTGGGAAAATATGGGCATTGAGAGGTAGAACCGTAGAACAATATTGGAAATGGCATATTTGTAGTAGCAAGCTATGGAATTAACTCAAGACTAGTACTCTAGATTAAAGTTTGAACTTTGAATGCCATTTCTATGTTCGATGGAAATGTAAAGGCAAGATTTAGAAATTTGAAAAGGGGAAACATCATTCTTTAAAGAAAAACAGTGTAAGAATGTCTTCCCTACAAGTTTCCTAAGACTGTTGGGAATGTGTAAAATGGTATGTAGAAGGAAAAAAGCCCTAACATAATGATTTTTTAAGGTCTGTTTTACCTTGGAAAATAAGAAATAGAATCAAACTTGATATGAAAAAATATCAAATTGATATACTGGGTTCGAATCAATTTTTTTCTCCCTCAAAACTTATTTCTATTTGACTTATTCCCTTAAATCTTCCTTCTTATTTTCTTCTCTTGGCACTTCCCTTATTCCAAACGGACCCCAAGGGTATGTTTTGCAAGAAGGAAGATTTGAGTCCTGGACTCCACTTGGTGTTTCAGGCCCTTGCGTTTAGCTCTTCTACCTTATAGACTAAAATTGCTTTAACAGATGAATAGATGGGCATTAAAAGTGAACACTCTTCAGTCACAATACCTGGATCTCCAGCATAAGGCCTTCGAAGAGGAAGAGTAATAGGATAGTAGCTATTTTTATAATCCTGCCAAGGCATCATCAAGGTCACTATAAAAAACGAATGGGGGGCACTTACATATCAAATTAATTATCAACAAGGAATAGAGATTTCTTACCCAAGGCTCTTTATATTCTCTTTTCTTCTTAGTCATGTTTTCATCATTGACATACATGCTCTTCTCACCATCAGCAGAACCATCAAATCGTGTACTACCATCAGTATTCTCATCTCCGGGAATTAGATGTCTCCTTGTCGGAGCTGATGATGCCCCTTCTTCAGGAAATACAAATTGAACTTCTGGGATTTATTTGTTAGAATTTCAAAGAATTAGTAGTTGCAAAGTTAGATAAAACATTAACCTTATATCACTCATTCTCAACAATAGGCAATTAGGAAATCTTCATCAGTAGCAAGCAATGAGAAAGTATGATAACATAGTACAGACAAGATACTTGCATTACTCAAGGGTCTATTCGGATGGAGAGTTTGGGAGGAAAACGTTGAAGAGCATAGTCTTTATCTGGATAAAAATTGAAACTTTATAAAAATGAACAATTCACTTTATAGTGCAACTCCGAAATCTTCCCCACCATTCCTCCAAAACCCTACACCCAAACAGACCCTACTAGATAAGTTTTATGACTGATCACAGTTCTTTGAATTCTTGAACCCACAGATCTTCTTTGCTAAATTTTAGCAATGTTTTGTGATTGTAAAGAAAATTTATGTAATATTAAGTGTTGCATAGACAAGGTCATAAACGTCCAAATAGCCAGTGATATTTAATGAGTTCTAATTGTTTCTAATTCAAATTAATGCCGTTTTAGGCACCCCAAAAATAGGCTAGAACCAACAGCTTAGCATTATTCTTCTTGAACTCAATAAAGCAGTAAACCAGTAAGTACAGATATTACCCTTCTTTACGGTATCATTAGATTTCCGTCCACCCAGGTGCTCCTGGAAAGAAAAAATCCCAGCAAGCATGATTATCAACAAGACAACATAGGAAACTATGTATGGATCTTGCTGTTCTAAAATCAGGATTTAGTTTCTTACTTTCTATCACATTTACTAACAACATGTGTAAGAGTGACTCTTGTTTTCTCAAGCTGCTCATACAATACAGATAAAAAAATCAGGGAAAAATAAATAAAATACCCCAAACTTTGAAGGGGTGTGAGCTAAGCACCCCAAACTTGAATATGTAGTTTAAATACCCCAAATTTTATATAAAAAGTTATTTTAGCACCATGGTCATGTATTATTTCTTTCAAAAATGTTAATTTTTTGTCTTAATTTCATAATTTCAAATATTTTAGCATTCATGAATATACAATTAACATTCTAAACTTTAATTCTAAAATAAATAGTATTACCCCGCACTCTATATAATTGTAACGTTTTCAATTTGCTATTTTAAATTATGCAATTAACACCACCAATTTACATTTTTGAAATAAATAATACATGATCATGGTGTTAAAATAACTTTTTATATAAAATTTGGGGTATTTTAATTACATATGAAAGTTGGGGGTGTTTATGTCACACCCCTTTGAAGTTTGGGGTATTTTAATTATTTTTCCCAAAAAATTAAATGGACCCCTGATTGAAGAACAGCCATAGCTAGATCCAAACTCGGTCAAATCTAAGTTTTTATAGGTTTTATAGGTTTGACTCTTGTTTTTATAGGTTTTTTCTTGTTTACTCTAATTATAGAAATATATACATAGTATATATTTTTGGCAAACCCCAAATTCAAATTCTTGGAAGCCCTTGTTCCGCAATCTAAGAGCAAAGACATTTTATTTGGAAAAAGAAAAAGTGATACGAGTACTCAATTAAATAATTTTTTGGTTTGATGGCACCATTGTAAGAATACTTCATTAGAGGTCGAAACTCATACCAATTAAGATTATTGACATTAAATTAGAACCGATACTATAATAGCTTAGAAAAATAAAATAAATAAATAAAATAATAAAAGACAAGTGCTCCACAAAAGCAAAAATAATGAAATAATTTATCAAAATAACATAACATTTTAATCATTATGATCACCAACAATCATAAATATGGCTCATTCACTCCTAGTTTGAGATGTTTTAATTAATTCATTCTTTTAATAGGACAAGTTTTAATGTAGAGAATAAAACATATGTAGTCCTATATTCAATCAAGGATCTAACATTAAATTAGAACATATACATTACAACAAAGTTAAATAAAATGATAAAAGTAAAGAATATGAGGTCAAAAGTTGCTAGAAGATGAATCTCCAATATCTCTATATCAATCTCAATCGTTAATGAAAGACAAGTGCTCCACACATTAGCAAAAATAATGATATATTAATATATCAAAAAAACATGAAATTTAACCATTATTATGATCAGCAACAATCAGACTATAACAACACATAGGATTTGAAGCTTCGGCTCTTACATTGAGTCGGCGGAGAAGACGACCACTAGGAACTACCGCATCAGATACACCTTTCTGGCTTGCTTCTCTACATGTTCATACCGGAAACTTGAATTCATCAAATTACGTTCATAAAACAACATAACGAGTTAAGAATGCGAGAAATTGAAAGCTATCGAGTACGTTTTTAGTTCGGTATTCTTGGCTCTGCGAGGAGGTGGCTTAGGAGCAAACCTAACCTGTAAATCAAGCATACCAAACAAAGGATAACTTAAATTGAACTAAGTTACTTCAAGTTAATGATCATGATTACAGAAAAACGTAGCGGATTAGTTGGATTTCAGAGTTAGACCTTTCTTGTTGATGATGGCTGAACAGGGGGCAATCCTGGATCCATGGAGTTCGTGAGTGTTTCGAATGTAAAATTCTGCAAAATTCATTAGCCATTATCATCAAAACATCTGCAAAGTAGTCGATGACTCGAAACACAGAGCATGATGAAGATGGAGGTCGAAAAAAAAACGGGAGAAAAGGGCCAGCTCAAAGGATTCGAACCTTCGCTGGAGCAAGAAGGAAATGAGCCAGTGACCGTCTGATCTACGAAAAATTTATGTACGTCTTCCGTAGTAATTGTATATAGCTATTGTAACTAATTCCCTTTCTATTTAAGAGAAAATGTTGTAGACAATGTGGTTTGTTTTTGTACTAATCACATTTTATATTTAAATTACTCTACATTAATAATTCTTACGCTCAAATTTAATTGTAAGGAGCTAGTAATAGTTTAATTTTACATTTGTCTGCACAACACAAATGTTACGTTCATAATGGAAAACTTACATTGAACTAAGTTACTTCAAGTTTAATTTTACATTTGTCTACACAACACAAGTGCTCATAACTTGTTAATTTTAGGGTGGGTTTCGGAGTTGGGTTTTTGGGAGGGAGGGAAGACACGTAAGAGTTGATAACTCTCCTATTTGTGTTTGGGAAGAATGATTTGAAAAATTTTTGTGACACCAAAACACCTGAAATGCCCAACTTTTAATTATCTCCAAAATGAGAGATTTTGAAGAATAACTAACTAAATGATAATTTAATTCAAATAACTAACTATTTGAATTCTCCATATCTTTGAAGTTATTCTAGTTATAATTCTTTCTAAGATAAGAAGAATTATACTTGTATACGTGGTATCTTTTTTAAATGTACTATTCCCAAATAAGAAGAAGGGTTTCCTCATCTTTTCCCTTCCTTTCCTCTTCAAACAATTTACCTTCAAAGCTTTCCATTCCCTTACGTCCAAACTGCCAACCATATCCTTACGACTTTTGAACTAGAAATAGGAATAGCAACATGTCCAGAGATGCTTGGAATAAAAATAAAAAATATGGATTTGACTTTTCCTTAAAAGGAACTTAAAACTAAGAATTTCCAGAACGGATATTCCGTTCATTAAACCTTAGAATGAGTAGCTCGGATAAGAAGCTCAGAAATGTGGGAAGAAAAAACCTTACCAAATCCAAAGAAGCTTAGGATAATCCGCCTTCAAATGCCTAAGCTTTCCTCCAATGAAGAGGACAGAGCTCATTCATCATTCCTATGGTCTATGGTGGACAGAGCTTATAGTTCACGTCTTCCTCAGTGCAGCTTGTCCATTAGCTAATAAATCACCTCCTTTCATCAAAGTCCAAGTCAAAGAACAAAGGTAAAAAAGAAAAAAAGATAGTGAAATACTATTTACCTGCCTGGAAGTCATTTAAACTAGTAAACTAATGATAACATATTAAAATTACCAATTGCATGACTTTGAATTGTACAAATGCTTTCTTGGGTACTATTTTAATGCAGGAGTAAAAAAACATCACAGTAGTAACATACCCTGTACCTTATTTGACCAAATTTCTGGAGTTTGACAAATTTGAAACTCACTATATATATTACTACTTGAAAAATTACTACTTGAAATTAAAGTCTGAAACTCACTATATATATTACTACTTGAAAATTTTTATATCGGCAAATGTAACAAAAAGATTAATTAATGTTGTTGTTCTAAATATTGAAGCCCAAATAAATCAACAAATTTACCTTTTTAGGTATCTTTGTTATGTACTTATGTTGAATGTCATGTATATTTTTTAACTAAGTAACATTAATGTTCTTTTTGAAAGGGTAATGTTCACGTACATTGGAGCATCAATCTTTCATTTAATATACTCTTTCTGTCTCTCAAAATTCTTCTCACTTACCTTTTTGAGATGTCTCCAATTTTTTCTCATTTCCCTTTATGGAAAGGTTTGTGTGGCTACCATTGATTTACTTTTTTCTTCAACCGCAACTATACATTTTTACTTTATTCTCACTTTCTTAAATTCTGATCCAAGTCAAATCGGGAAGTATTTTCCGGGACTGAGGGAGTATGTGTTTAAGTGTTTCATCTTTAATGTTGCTATTTTCAGCACCAAACTTTCAAAAGCCGATCCAAAATTAGCAAATCATAAAAAAGGCTTTAGTAAGGCCTAATGCATATTTTCTGGCTTTAGAATACGCGATTAGAGACTTTCTCTCACTAGAAAAGTGGTCGTGTACCCTTAAAGTATTATCCACAGATGGACAATTTGCATTGACATTATTAGTACTACAGGAAGATAAATGATTTATGTATGAAAAACCAGACGAGACATTACTTGAAATTGTACTTGAGGCCCTAGTTGGGAACTGTGCACGAGAAGGACTGAAAGTGTGCTGTCTGTGGGGCTGGCCGTGAGGTGGTAGAGGAAGCATAGGCGGCTTAATGTCGCCAAAAGCCTGTTGCTGCTGCTGAACAATCCCACCATAGCCACAACCCCGTTGTCCACGAGCTCGTCCGCCCAGATAGCCGCGACCTCCTTGAGCACGCCCTCCATTGCCGAAACCTTGAGAGAAGTGAAGAGCACACTTTTGTCGTGAGAAACTCCAAAAAGTAAAGTGCAGAGTCTCAATTCGAAGAAAGTAGCGAGAAAGTTAAAGACGACATTGCAATAGCAAATAGCAACAAAGTTGCAAAAGATAGCCAAACATTGGTATGTCGATTGATATATTTTATTGTTCTCAAATAAAATCATATGTGTTCATTTCTTAGTTTTCAGTAACATTGCTATCATTGTTTACATTTTTTATCTCAAACAAAAATATTGTTTAAAAATCTAGGGTTCTGTACACATAGACAAGTTTAAATATACTTTAAACTTGTTGACGGCACTTAAGTCATTATGTGTCTCAAAATAAAATCAATACTAACACTAATATGTAGTATAGTGAAGTAGAGTTCGTATCTACATGGAAAAGAATACTTTTCTTTTATGAAACTAGTAATTAAAAAGGGAGGTTTTGGGGATGTTTGATTTTAATTAATTAAATACTAAGATGAACGACTTATATGATTTTAATTAATGAGATTAAAGATTTGACTTTGCTACTTTCCACTTGTTGATATGTTTGTTGATCCCGGTTATATCTATACTTATCCCCTCTCGAATACTCAATCGAGAAGTATCTCCAATTAATCGAGGGTAGTTATTAATAACAATCGTTCATTAATAACCTTTACTATTAGCCAAGTATAGAACACCGTCATATATCAACTTGATAATAACATTTAATCTCTTAACTCCTTGATGAAATCAATTAAGATATGAAAACCTCAACAAAACGGTTTCGGTTAAACCAACACAATGAATCCCTCTTAAGATTATTAACCACGAACGTGCATTAATAACCCGAAGTTACTTGTGAAACCATCAATGATATGATTAATCATCAGTTCATTGATCGTTTCTAGTAGTAATTAATGTCAAGATATTAACTAATCATTTAACAACACTCCCCAACATTAATATAGAGATAGAATAAGGGATGAATTAATATTCAAGGGAAGAAGTAAGAAAATAACTCACAACTTTAACATTCAACAAGCTTTAAGAGCAAAACCAAGAATTGAAAGTTTAGCTTATCATTTGGAGACTAAACAATGCTAGAAAAATATAAAGAAATTACTATTCTAAGTAGAGGTATATGGAAGAAGGAATGATTAAAAGCGAAGGAAAATGATGCTAGTTATAGGTGTTTAGCATTAACTATGTCAGATACCCAATCGAGTATTTGAGATACCCGACCGGGTATTTATTTGTCAAATCATATCTTTTTCACACGTCTTTGTGTTCTTCAGCACGTCTTTTTGCCCGAATTCACTTCCTACCCAACCGGGTCTATGGGGATTCCCGATCGAGTATTTCTCCCTTTTCATAGAAACTTCATTTTTCTCTTCATACCCGACCAGGTAAAAGCCACACCCGGCCGGGTTTTGCACTAAAATCAGGATTTCTCATCCTTTTTGCCTTCCAAGCCTATCCTATTATCAAGCCCAACTAATTACTTCTTACAACATACAATTAAATGCTAAAAATATAATTACAATCAAATAGAAACTAATGACTACAAACTTCCACAATAATAATAAATAGACATCACAAACAATTATAAAAATGTATACTTATGCACTAACAATTAGTGCATATCACTTGTTATATTGCAATCACCGAGTGTTATGAACGTAACAATGTTAACACAATGTCTTCGATTTTGATTAAATTAGTTGATCTTCTATTTGCATGTGTATACAAATGCTCTAGGCTATGGTGTCTTTTATCTACCGGTAATATTTTGCAAATATTTAGGGTTATATGCAAGTGTTCATATTAAAATTGACTTATAACTTATTAAAATGCCATTGCTTAGTTTTATGAACTTATCAATGTCAACACAATGTTTCTGGTGATGATTAAATAAGGTGTATTTCTTCTGATCACATTTAATTTGTAATTAAATGATCCAGGTTATAAAAAGGTCACGTCGTGACTAAAAGATAAGAAGTATTATTGACAACAGACTGAATATTTACTGCAGAGTCAATTCCGTTGTTGGATTGATTAGGAAAAAACTAAATGATGAAGAGCTCAACAAGTTTAAAACAACAGCATTTGGAAGCATTGTTGACGTTGCTGATATGAAATGGATAAGTGGACAATTGTTTATATACCTTCACTAGTACAAAAAAGGCTTTTCACATCAATCAAACAACCGATGTGGTTCCAGCCCATGTGAAAAATACAGACTTTTCACATCGGTCGTATAACCCATGTGAAAAGTCTTTCTACATCGGTCATGTAATACCCGATCTAGAAGATTGCTCAAAACGGCGTTGTAAATGATATTCCACATCGGTTATAACCGATGTGGAAGAATTTACATCGGGTCTAAAATAACCCATGTAGAAAAGACTTCCATTTTTTCGGAACATAGGATTTTTCACATCAGTTATAACCCATGTGGAAAAGATTTAAATTTTCAAAAAAAAATACAATATCACCCCTAAATCTTGTACAACCACATCATCAACAATATCATCAACTAACTATATAGCACAATTCTGCACCTATTTCACTCAATCAATAGCACAATTCTTGCACAAATGTTAAGCAAGTTTCAATAAGAATTTAATACATAATAATAAGTTACAAATACAGTTCTTGTACAAATGAAGGTATTAATACATTGTCTAAAGTTACAAGTCTTGTAATCA